ATATATATATATACTTATATACAAGTATATATACCAACATGTGTATGTGTTATTTTTTGTATGTACATAAAATATATGCTCCATTTTTTTGGGAACTTTTTTTTCTCATTGTAATTTTGGTATATCTATTTTGTTCTGTCCCCTGTTGATGAACCAATGTTGTATGATTAATAATAGTATTTGGACTTTTATTATGCAATAGTTTATTTCTGCTATATGTTTGGTATATGCGATACATTTTTGTTGTCGTTTTTTTATGTTACGTCTAGTAGATTTGTTTTAGTCATTTCTATCTTAAACCAAACAATATATTGTTGAACATAAAGATAAAATATACTGAACATAAACCAAAAATATCCTTATACTGCACATATAAAAATAAACTGTTGAACATAAAGCAAACATATTAAAACTACTCAATTTATTTCTATGAACAAATGCCAAAATATGCTGCACATATACCTTCTCCGTGACGTGAAATATACTCTAAAATCGTGAGTGATTAGTGAAATATACATACTGAACGTAAACCAAACAATATATTGCTGAACATAAACCCCAAATAAGTTGAACATAAAGATAAAATATACTGAACATAAACCAAAAATATATTTGTACTGCACATATAAAACTAAACTGCTGAACTTAAACCAAAAATATTAAAACTACGCAATTTATTTCTATTAACAAATATCAAAAATATACTGCACATATACTCCCCGAACGTCTTTCACTTTTTTTTTTGTTTTTTTTTTTCTGTGACGCGAATCGATTTGTACAGGAGATTCGATCGTCTTTCACTATGAACAAATACCAAAAATATACTGCATATATACTCCAGAAACGTCTTTCACTTTTTTTTTCCTGTGACGTGAATCGGTCTGTACAGGATATCCGATCGCTTTGTTCTGTGTTTTAATATCTGTCCAGTACACTATTTTTATCTCGTTCTTCAGTGTTTTGTTGCGTGATGAGTTCCCACGCAAAATCCGATCGCCGCCGCAAATTTTTTTTTTCTGTAATGAAGCTCGTGTTTCAGAAAAATCTTATCGCCGACATGTTTCCCTTATCTTTTCCGCCTGTTTCAACGATGATTATGCATTCAAAATGTAAATATAATATCTTTTCCATATTGAAATCCTGAAATTGTGCCCTACAAATATAGAATGGTTGTTCATCTTACCCGGTTATTAGACATGTATATAATTACTTTTTATCTCTTAGGTATATACACAAATTTATTGTTTTGAATGGTAATGTTGCAATTACTTAAAAAAAGGATAAATATACATAAAAATTTCCCAAACTTCATTATCTTCCTTTACCAGCCCAACTTTAATGGCTTCCTCGACTAGCGCAACTCCATATTCCGGTTTTATCTCGCCCAATTTGCCTTTGTACCCTACTATCTCAATCCCGTTCGTTCTAGGGTTTTCTATTTCTTCACCCAATGTCGAGCTATGGCACCAAAGATCCTTCCCTTTCCCTTTCTCCGATCAACACCATCCTTAATTCTTCATTTTTCATAACACGCATATAGTTATTGAGCTTATTTCTCATGTCTGTTTGATGATTGCTTGAAGTTGAGTTTATTTATCCGAAAATGGCAGCGGCAGTGGGATATCAGCAAACTGTTTATGCACAAATTGTGAGTTCTTTTTTTTTTTTTTTTTTTTTTTTTTTGAGTTCAAAATTATATTTTATCTATTCGTACTAGCTTTGAGTTATTTCTTATGGACGGTAGGTTGGGAGAGTATTTGTAGAGAAATACTATACCATTCTGCATAGCTCGCCGGAGTTGGCTCATAAATTCTATCAAGATAAGAGTACCATCCATCGTGTTGAGGAGGATAGCTCCATGAGTGTCACCACAACCTGTCAAGTAAAACTACCGTTTTCCTGTTCCTTATTATTCATAGGGCCGTTTATTCTTGTATTTCAAGTACATTTGGTGGTAGGTTACAGTACATGGAGGAAGGAGATAATTTATATGGTGGAACAATCATATTTCTTAAGTTTGGTATTTCCTCTTGAGAGTTTTACATTTATTTCCATCTTTTCGGATGATGTTAATGATTTAATGCTTTCAGGAGGTGGTGTTAATCTGATTTGAATTAGAATATTGAGCTCGGATGGCTCTCTTTTTT